AGTTGCAGTGAATCCCAAGCTTTTCAACCCACTTCTCAAATCCTTTGGTCACAGATCCCAGAGCTCCACTAGCAACAGGGACAACTTCTACTTTCTTCAGTTTCCATAGTCTTTTTATTTCTCTTTTCAGATCTTGATACTTTTCTACATTTTTCTTCTCCTTCTTTGCTACGTTCGCATCCGCCGGTACTGTTATGTCAATGATAATTGCTGTATGTTCCTTCTTTTCTACCAAGACTAAATCTGGCCTTCTTGCCCCTATCACATTATCACATTGGATATTTGCACATCATAACAACTTTACATCATCACTCTCCACAACTCCTTCAGGGGCAGGCTCGTACCATTCCTCACTGCATTCCAGTCCTCTTTCCTTGCATATATCCCAATGGATTTTTCTCGCTACATTATCATAACGCCTCTTGTACTCCTTTTGAGCTAACTTCCCACATGCACTTACAATGTGTTGAATACTTTCACCTGCTTGGCCACACAATCGACACAGGAGGCTTTCAGCCGTTTTATCAATGTGATACTTCACATAATTTGTCCTGATCGATTGTTCTTGTACCAACCTTCAAATCGCATTTTGACAACCATACCCAAGTCTTCTCTTTGTCTACATCATCTGCTAAGTCTCTGACGAACTGTCCATGAATTCTCTTTCCAGTCCACCTATCTTTCGCTTCGTTTTCATTTCTTGTCTTAAGATCTCTAACCTCCTCCAGTTCACTTGCACTTAATTCCTCGAATTTTGCTACACCCTTAAACAGTTTCTCTTCAGATTTGGACACGTACACTTTCAAACTACTCTCCTCATCTTTGACATATCGTTCTATACTTATAAGACCTCTTCCCCATCTCTTCTTTTCACATACAGCCTGTCAACATCACTCTTCGGATGGAAAGCTCCATACATTGTCATTGTTTTCCTTCTTTGTCTGTCTTAATCTTTAAGCTCGTTTTCTCTCCATTGTATTATTCCCGCTCCATACCGGAATATGGCCACTGCCCATGTGTTGATCGCTGACACCTTTTTTTTTCCCATTCAACTTTGATCTTAGTACCAGCCTTAACCTTCTTTTGTATTCTTTTCCAATTGTATCTTTCATTTCAGCTTCTTTGATTTTATCTAATTCCACAATACCTAGATAAGTGTAACCTTCCTCCTGAACCTCTTTCATTGTTTGTCCATCAGCTAGCTTAATTACTTCACTTCTAACAATCTTTCCTCGTTTCAGTGTCAAAACGCCGCACTTTTTCATCCCAAATTCCATACCAATATCATTGCTGAACATGTGAACGGTTCTAACTAGCATACTCATCTGATCTTCAGTCTTGGCGTATAGCTTCAGGTCGTCCATAAACAATAAATGGTTGACCTTGTATTCCTTCTTTCCCCATTCATAAGCCGCCGTCACTTTCCGTAATATCAGTGACAATGGTATTATACTAAGGACAAATAACAGTGGCGACAGACTATCTCCTTGGAAAAAAACCCTCCTCACAAAAACCTCTCCAAGATCCTCCCCGTTGGATGTCAGTGATACCTTCCACTGTTTCATGCTTCTTCCAAGAAAGTTCCTTACATTCTCTGCTATTCCAAACATCTCCATACATTCGCTTATCCAGCTTTGCGGGACCAGATCATAGGCTTTTCGGTAATCTATCCAAGATATGGACAGATTCGTAAGCCTTTTCTTACAATCTCTGAGTATGGTTCTGTCTATGAGCAGTTGATCTTTGGTGCCCCTACTTCTTCGCCTCCATCCTTTCTGTTCATCTGGTAATATATTGCTCTGTTCTAGATATTGGTACATTTCCTCTGCTACAATGCCCGTCAAAAGTCTCCACATTAAAGGAAGGCAGGTAATAGGTCGATGATTATCAACCGCTGTGCCTTTCTGTGGATTTTTTTGACAAAGCACTGTTCGACCATGTGTTGTCCATTGAAGGACCTCCTCCTCTGTTAACATACCATCAAGTTGGGATGCGATTCTTTCATGAAGAGCGGTGAAGTGTTTTAGCCAATATCCCTGTACTCCATCTGGTCCTGGTGCTTTCCAATTCGGAAGTTTCCTACTTTGCTTTTTAACTTTCTCTGTGTTAATTTTCACCGTGTCTTGCGTGTGTTTCATGTCACGATCTATTTCTTTCTTCAACTCTTTCAGCCATACAGCAGTTCTATTGTGCTCCTTCTCTACACTCCAAATGTCACCCCAGAATTTTGTAGTCTTCCGCATGTCGTTTGAAAAATTGGAACTTTTGTTGAGTTCGTCATAGAACTTCTTCTGATTCAAACCAAAAATCCTATTTTGCTTAAACTGTTCAATTCTGTCTTCATATCTCTTCAGTTTTCCACTTTTTGCAAGCATTCTTTGTTTTAATTCTTCTATAGCAGTTTTTATCCCCTTTCTGTTCACCCTGTGCTTTTCATTTCGTTGTTTGATTTTCTGTGTCTGTTATTATTATTATTATTATTGTTATTATTATTACTATTACTATCATTATTATCATCATTGTTATTACCATTATCATTATCATCATTATCATTATCATTATCATTATTATTATTATCATTATTATTAATATTATTATTATTACTATTGTTATTACTATCATTATCATTATTATTATCATTATCATTATTATTATTATTGCTATTATTGTTATTGTTATTATTATTATTATCATTATTATTATCATTATTATCATTATCATTATCATTATCATTATTATTATTATTATTATTATTATTATTATTGTTATTATTGTTATCATTATCATTATTGTTGTTATTATTATTATTATTATTATTATTATCATTATTATTATTCTATTAGTTTTATAATAATAATTATTATTATTATTATCATTATTATTATTATTCTATTACTTCTATAATAACAATAATTATTATTATAATTATTATTATCATTATTATCATCATTATTATCATTATCATTGTAATTGTTATTACCATCATTATCTTTTTTTCTTACTTTTATCATTATCATTATCATTATTATTATTATTATTATTATTATTATTATTATTATTATTATTATTATTATTATTATTATTATTATTATTATTATTATTAATTTTATTATTATCATTATTATTATTATTATCATTATCATTATTATTATTATTAATGTTACGATTATTGTTATTATTATTATTATCACCATTATCATTATAATTATCAGTATCATTATCATTACTATCATCAACATCATCATCATTTGGGAGCTAACGCCGGCAGGGGGAAATAGCCGCATCCAACCTTTGCTTCCACCTACGAGGGTTCCTCATGGCGAGCCGCCAGGCAGGGGCCCGGCCCATCTCTAGCTCCTCACGACAGGTTTAATCGATCTGCCCAAGCCACGACAGCTACCGGCATCTCCAAATACTCTTGTCAAGAGATTTCATGACCCTTGCTGCCAGGCCAGTCCATCTACTGACTTCCTGGTCTGACAGCCCAGAGTCGTGAATTGCACTACCGAGGTATATAAAACTCTCTGTGACTTCGATGTTTTCACCGCAAGCACGTACCGACTGCACAGGGTCTCTTAGTAGGCCCCCAAAATCCTCAATCTTGGTCTTGGGCCAGGGGCTAGCCCCAGGGGCTTCGCTTCATTGCTAAATGCATCAAGAGCCGCCACTTTGGTGCCTCAGCAGGTGGTCTCTGATACGTCTCAGTAGGATGTGTGCGAGTACCTTCCTTGGTATACTAAGTAGTGTATAGGTGATTGCTGCAGTCCCACCGATCCCCTTTCCCCTTCCAGAGAGGGATGACAACACCCCTGAGCAGGTCAGGGGGAATGGTGCCAGTATTTGTCCTGATCGACAGGCCAGACAGGTCTTGATGCAAGCCCCTTGCCATAGGTTCTCCACCAGCCTTTAACAATTCAGCTGGGATGCCACAAACACCTGCTGCTTTACCACTCTTCAGCTTGGAAATCGCCCCCGACTTCAGTCAGGGATCCTCGCTGATGGGTGGGTCTGGCAGAGGAATCTCAACATTACACGCATCCATGTTAACTGTTGGTGGATCAACCTGATACAACTGCTCAAAAAACTCAGCCCAACGCACACGCACTCTGAGATTATCTGGTCACTTGCTGAGTAGACTACAGTCGTCTGTGAGGAAGGCTTGTAGTTCAGCTTTCTCAGGGCTTGGTAGGCAGGGCGAAGGTCATTTACTAAAAAATGGTTTTCGACCTCCTCTGCAAGATTCCTGATAAACTGTTCCATATCCCTTCTAGTCTTATATTTATTACTACTATTATCATTATTATTACTATTATTATTATTATTATTATTATTATTATTATCATTATTATTGTTATCATCTTCATTATCATCTTTATTATTATCATGATTATTATTACTGTTAATATAATGATAATGATAATAATAATAATTATTATTATTATTATTATTATTATTATTATTATCATTATTATCATTATCATTATTATTATTATTATTATTATTATTATTATTATCATTATTATTATTATTATCACTATTATTATTATTATTATCATTATTATTATTACTGTTATTATAATCATTATTACCATTATTAATATTATTATCATTATCATTATTATTACTGTTATCTTTATTATCACCAATACTATAATTGTTATTATTATTATTACCATCATTATTATTAGCATTATTATTAGTAGAAATATTACTATTATTATTATAATTATTATTATCATTACTATTATTATTATTGTTATTATTAATATTATTATCATTATTAATATTATTATTATTATTGTTATTATTATCATTATTAATATTATTATTATTGTTATCATTATCATTATTATCATTATTATTATTGTTATTATTATTATTATCATCATTATTACTATTGTTATCATCCTCATATCATAAAATTATTGTTTGTTGGTGTGGTGGTGTTATTATTATTATGTTTTTTGTTATTATTATTTTATTATTATACATTATTTATT